GAACGGCAAACACAATTGCCATTAACTCTTTTTCGTAAACTGATTTTTCCAACGCACGTGAAGAGAAAGCCTGGCTGATATAACTGAGTGGACGATCCCCCTGAGTAAGCACTACTCCCATCCCTTTTCCTGATGCGTCAGTGACCACAGTAAACGTTTTACCAAAGTCTGGCATTGCTAGGACTGGAACGGAGCACATGGCACTCTTTAACAGCTCAAATGCCGACTGAGCTTCCTTACTCCAAAGGAAAGCATCCTTTCTTAATAGGTCAGTTAAGGGCTTCGCAATCTGACCATACCCTTGAACAAACTTCCGATAGTAGCCCGTTAATCCCAAAAACCCTCTCAGCTCTTTCAATGTTGTAGGACTAGGCCATTGAGACATGGCTGCAATCTTGGAAGGATCAGCTTTTACACCCTCCTCTGAGATTAAATGGCCGAGGTATTCAATTTGCAACTGCCCGAAGCTACACTTCTTTCTATTTTCCACAAGACTATGTTGTCTCAAAATACCCAAAACACACCGGAGATGCTGGAGATGCTCAACCAGACTGTGGCTGGAGATTAAAATATCATCGAAGAAAACCAGCACAAACTTGCGCAAATGAGGCTTTAATATCTCATTCATCAGTGATTGGAAGGTTGAAGGAGCATTGGTGAGCCCAAAGGGCATCACCAAGTACTCGTAATGTCCCTCGTGGGTTCGAAAAGCCGTCTTGGGTATGTCCTCTTTCCGCATTCTAATTTGGTGATACCCTGACTTAAGATCAAGTTTGGAGAAAACCTTGGAGCCACCTAACTCATCCAAAAGTTCTTCAATCACCGGAATTGGGAACTTGTTCGGCACAATGAGTTTGTTGAGGGCCCTATAATCCACGCAAACTCTCCAACTGCCGTCCTTCTTGCGTACTAAAATGACTGGGCTCGAGTAAGGGCTGATGCTTGGTCTTATCATCCCTGCAGTGAGCAACTCAGAAACCAGTGACTCAATCAAGGACTTTTGGTAGTAGGGATACCTGTAAGGCCGTATGTTTGGCACTCCACTCCCTGCTTTCAACTCAATTGCATGATCGTGCCGTCTGTGAGGAGGTAGGCCCTGTGGTTGCTGAAAGATGTCATCAAACTCCTTCAGCAGTAGTGAAAGCTCAGCCCAATCAACTGGCATGATTGTTGATTCTCCTTGAATCCACTGAGGCCCAACAACACACCCTTGACCACTGTCCTTTAACGTCTTCACCATTGAACGAAGAGAGGACCAAGCTCCTTTGCGTGACAGAGCAAGATCTCCGTGAAGTACCGTCGCATTTTCCCCATCATTAAACTTCAACGTGAGTTTGTTGAAGTCAGCTGTGATCTCCCCCAAGTTCCTCAGCCACTCCATGCCCAAAATTACCTCTGCACCACCCAAATCAAAGACGAACAAATCTAATGTCGTTTGAAACTCCTGAATCTGCAACGGAACTTGACGGCACACACCTTGGCTGCCCACCTTGTGACCGTTGCCAAGCACCACCTTAAAACTATATGAATCTTCAATGGTGAGTTTCAATCGTTCAGCCACCTGACGATTGATAAAATTATGAGTCGCACCACTGTCAACCAACGTCGTCACTTTCTCGCCGTTCACCGTTCCCCACATCTGCATACTTTGGTTTGAAGAAAGCCCTAAGACACTGTAGATGGAGAGCTGTAAGAGTGCAGCTTCAATGGGCTGGGATTCTTCAACCGGTTGCAAAATCTCTTCGCGCGTCTCCATGGGCGAAGGAATTTCTGGATCGGTCAACTCCTCATCTTCTTCGATGACCAACAATCGGAGATGGGCGTTCCGGCAGCGGTGGTTGCGGTCCCACTTCTCTCCACACTTGAAACAGAGACCCAAGCGACTTCGATCGTGAAGTTCCGCCTGGCTGAGCCGTCCACCTCCACCAACCAGGTTGCTACCAGAACCAGAAGCTTCCATGGTTCGTGTTGCTCCCTCACTGCCCACGTTATGAGAACGGGTAGGGTTTGTGTGACCAGAACGCGTGTCGTTTTGAATGGTGGGGGAAACTTGATGACCGACACCTGTCATGGACGTGGCATTAGTGGCCATGCCCTTGGCATGTGACGCGTTAAAGAACCCTTTGATGGGCTGATTGGAGCGGCCCACTACACTTGTCTTTCCAGCACCCCACGAACCCAGCCCATCACTAGCCCACGAAAAATTTCTTCTCTCCAAACTCATCGTCTTCCTCATCAAGTCAGATAATGATACTATATTGGCTTGCATCAGCTCAGTGCGCAGACTGCTATGAACCCCATGCAACCAGATCTCCTTAAGCATAGCCTCATCTGCATATTGAATAGGGCTGATTATTCTCTCAAATTCAGCCCTAAAGCTTGCAACGCTACCCGTCTGCTTCAGACTCATCAATTCCTGGTAGGGACTCCCAGTTAGCTCCAATTGGAATCGGTCCATAACATCCATTCGAAAATCTTCCCAAGACGCGTTGGGGTTGCCACGCTCCCAAACGAAGAACCAATTTAACGCTGGACCATCCAAGACGATCATGACAGCGTCAATCCTTGCTCTTTCTGGGATTGCATTGACCAGAAAGTATCGTTCCACCCTGGTCACCCAAGAGAACACATCATCCCCAGAAAATCGAGGGAGTTCCAATCTGGGCTGACGCGAAGGTCCTCCCCCACGTGTACCTGCGAGTGGGTTTCTCCAGTCAGAATCTGTGGATTCCGTGCTCCTTCGGCGAGAGCGACCTCGACGCGGGTTGCCATCCCCATCAACTCGAACTCGATGGCGAGGATGACGTTGTAACAAGGCTAAAATCTCATTTAGCCGTTGGTCACTTTGTTCGTGACGCTCTTCAGCTAAAGTCTCGATTCTCCGTAAGCGTTCCTCCACGATCTCCAAACGATTGTCCATGTTGCGAGTAACAACCATTCAAAGCACCCCAAGGATCGGAGTGCTCTGATACCAGTTGATAGAATTGTAATATAATAGGTCAGAGTAATACGCACAACACAGGGTTTTGGCCCAGAATACTGGATTTTCTGTATATTATCAAGCAAAAATTACAATAACAAAATACTGTTTAAGACTGAAACAAGTTAAACGCAAGCACAAAAACAACCACCAATTACAATAATTTCCCAAGCTGGTTCAGTGCTAATAAGAGGCACTGATCCCTCCAAAAGAACTCCCAAATTTCCAGCCTCCTTCATCCTTTTATTTTCCCGTTTATATAACTACTTGTGATGCACTTTCACGCCTCAGCCCCATGCAACACACCAACTTCTCTCTCCCTAACCGAATTCTCACCGGCCTCAGCACCAACAGCTATGATATTCCCTCTCTCCTGTGAGTCAGCATTAGGATTTGATCCCCTGTGACGCTTTCTACTATACACCTTAAGAAGAGTTCTATCAGTTTGCAAGCTCAACAAAGCTCTATATGGTCTAAAACAGGCACCTAGAGCCTGGTTTGATAAGCTGAAAAAATGCTTTGCTGCTGTTTGGCTTTAATTCCAGTTGTTGTGACCCTTCTTTATTCATCTCAGACATTATCTCACTGAACATATATTCTAGTTTATGTGGAATGTGACCGGAACTAATTCTTCATATATCCAGCAACTCATTACTCAATTGCACTCTCAGTTTGCCTTAAAGGACCTTGGCAATCTAGACTATTTTCTTGGTGTTGAAGTCAAACCTCATTCTTCTAGTGGTTTAATTATGTCCCAGTCTAAATATATATATCCGAGACTTACTAGCTAGAGCTGATATGCATGAAGCAAAAAGGATATACTCTCCAATGCCCTCAAGTTGTAAGCTGTCCAGGTTTGGGTCAAATTATTTCTCTGATCCATAGCTTTACAGATCAGTGGTGGGTGCTCTTCAATATGCAACCATCACTCGCCTTGAAATCAATTATGCTGTCATCAAGGTTTGTCAATTTTATAGGACAACCTTTAGATGATCACTGGAAGATAGTCAAAAGAATATAAAGATACCTCAAAGGCACCATCTCCATTGGCCTTGTTCTCCAACGGGCAGACCTACAACACTCTTTCTCTCTCAGCCTTTTGTGATTCAAATTGGACAAGTGATCCTGATTACTGATGACGGGCGTTCAACATCAAGAGTTGTTGTCTTCTTGGGTCCTAATCTTGTTTCATGGTAGTCTAAGAAACAAACTTTGGTGGCAAGGTCAACTACAGAAGCAGAGTACCGAACTTTATCTCTTACATGTGCTGAAATTCAATGGATTCAGTCACTTCTTCGAGAGTTGCAAGTCCCTTTTGATCCTCCTCGTGTATGCTGTGATAATCTGAGCACTGTATCTCTCACTCACAACCCTGTTCTGCACGCCAGAACAAAGCATATGGAGCTGGATATATTTTTTGTCAGAGAAAGGGTCCTTGCTGGCGATCTCAGTGTCTCTCATACTCCTGCCTCTAATCAGATTGCAGACACTCACTAAAGCTCTACCTCTGCTCGTTTTGCAGAATTGAGGACCAAACTCAGGGTTCTTGATTCCATGCCTCAAGATCCCTGAGTTTGCGGGGGTGTATTAGATGTATATGTATAGCTTCTTTGCTTATTGTGTTGCTGTAACTGTAGTAGCATTTGCTTAGTGTATTGGGTGTATCAGATTATTTCTGTGTTAGTTTTCAAGTCTGTTAGTTTATTAGATCTGACTCATTAGCTGAGTCAGCTATCTCACTCTATATATTAGAGTGCCTTGTATCTTGATTCATTATTACAATATACAGATTCAGATTCCTCAAACACTCTCTCACTCTCACTCTCCCCCTCATCTATGGCTTCTTCACAGTATTTGAATACATTTTAGTATTTTACTATAAAGTTAAATATAAATCATATGGTATTGTCAAAGATTATACTAAAATATATGTACTTCAACAATATTCTGAAACATTCATTCATTACATGGAGAATGTTAAATATGAAAAACCAGCATTTACGAAATTAAAATATCTTACCAGTTAAATCATTTATGGCACTTTGGGCATCCTGATAAATTGATTCACAAAACCAAGACACCCTACCATTAGCATGGCAACACACAAAAAATGCCAAAGACTGTAAAGTAAGAGAACATATGGGAAAAATTAAGTGATAATTTCATGCCTGCTGATTCCGAAAAGAAACAAATCCAAATCCCCTTGAACGACCTGTCTTCTGATCCCACATTACCCTCGCATCTCTGTAATCAATGTATCGTAAGTGTCATGAAACTATGAATTCAGATATACATTCAGTTGTAAACCTGTACTTCTAACAAAATATTTCTAGTAAACTCTGATAACAAAATAAAAATGATAAAAGAAAAATAGAAAGAGCTAGAAAAACTTACGAACAAGTAGGATATACAGAAAAGCAAGCATACAATGTTGCGTCTGTAACCTCAGGACTAAGGTCACCAACAAAAACATTAAAATGACCTGAATCCAAGTGATGAGAAAAAGGTAAAGTTGTCATTCCATTTCCACAGAATAAGGCACAGCAAAATGACCTAAAAAAGGTACATAGTTAGCAAAAATATAACCTGACGTATCCTCTCTCTGGCTGCTAGCATAAGCCCAGTTAACTTTAATAATCTGCCCAAAACTGAAGACAACATATTAACAATTAAAATACGAAACTACTAAAAGTTGTGCCACGACTCAAATTGAGATCCCACATACATATTCATCCCATTAAGAGTTACAATAGCAAATGCAGCTGAACTTCGATCAAAGTAGTCCACAAAGCCATAGGATGACTGCAGAATGCAGATGACAATAAAAAGCAGGTCATGACGATTGAGATGACACAAGAAGAAGCATATAGCATACAAAACTTAATATAATATTGCCTAGCCAAAGATTTTTTGGTCAATAAACTACTTTTATCTGCCGCAGCTAACAGGAAACATGAACTCTATCATACATTAGTAATTTTTCACTTTATTTTCTGTTTAGAGAGATCATTTTAAACAAAGCTGACCTTCTCTTTCCGAATAAGCTTGCATCCTTCAAGGGCGCCTACACTTGAAAAAAGCTCTTGAAGAAGGGATTCTGTAACCTGAGGATGAATGTTGCCTACATAACTGCATTTCGTCAAAAGTGATTAGAAATTTAAAATGCAAAAAAGTAAAGAAAAACTTATTAAGACTATACAGGAATTGAGTTCGCCAACTATAAAAAACAGAAAACAATAGAAAACTTAGAGAACAATTCATGCTAAAGATTATCATAGAGGAAAAGAAGTCAACAAGTCACTTAAGGCAGCTAAACCGGGAAAAATGACTAAATCAAAATAACCAAAGAACAGTTGAAGAAATTTATTAAAAAAAATCAAAATAAAATGTCTACTAACACTCACACACTGCGGCATGTACTCGAATCAAAGCCAGGAGGCAGATTTCCACTCAAGATAGGCTCTATCTGCAAAATAAAAATGTAAAAAACAAAGGAAAAAGAACTCCTAAAAGCAAAATTATCCACTCTCCTCTCAAGTCTCAACTAATCAAATCAAACAAAACGCACATGCTGAATCACAGAGACACCTAGAGTTTCAACTAATAAACAAGCACCAAAACGACAAGATGAATTCGAACCAGTACAATCTTATTTTATTTTTTATCGTAAACAAGAAATCAAAATTGTAGGGTGATTCACACATATCCAATAAAAAAACTCCGGTTGATCAATTAGCGGGAAATTGAAGTGCAAAGAGTAATCACGAAGATAACACGATAGATATTGGGAGGAAATGAAGGAGAAAACATCAGCATAAGTAGCATGGAAGAAAAAAAATGATAAATAAGAGAAAATAATAGGAAGCAAGGCGAAAGAGGAACCTGAGGGGAAGTAAGAAGAGCAGGGTGATGGTAAAGAGAGGGCTGCATCATGGCATGCTGTCTTAACCTCTGTTGCTGCATCTTCAATTCTAGGGTTAGGATTACAGAGGAAGATGAAATGGGGATACAAATTACAAAGGAAACTGAATACAATCAAAACTAAAATACAAGACAAAAGACAAAAGAAAAAAGAAAAGAAAAAAGAAAAAAAAGAAAAACCCTCGAAACAGAGGGGCAAGGGATGGAAGACAGACAAAGGAAAGACGAAGAAGATGATATTGGGTTCGAGCCTTCGAGGGACTGAGTCTCAAGTTAAAAGAGACGATCTTCTAAAAATAATGATATTATTATTATTATTACGGGGAGAATCCACTTACAGCTAAAAAAGTTTACAACTCTTACGACCAATTTCATCATCGTTGATTTTCGTGAATGTAACAGTTATAATTTATTGAGAATTAATAACTAACGGTGATTAAATCAGTTGTAAGAGTGATACACTTTTTCTTTTTTGGTAGTAAGTGAATCTGTTCCCTATCATTGTTAATTTAAAAATAAATAAATTAAACGGACAAAGGGATAAGCTGATGTAAGGACCGTCATAGATTTTGAATCTAAATTCTCAAGCTGATTTTTAAGATGAAATAATTTTTTCTGTCTTGTAGGGATGTTCATAACAATATTCTTATAATCACTTTTTTTTTTAAAACAGAAATGGATAGAAACAATATTTAATAAAATTGATTTATTTTTTCTATTCTCGAGAATGAACAGGTTCAATCTCTATATTCGGAAACAAAACAAAAAAATTAACTTGTCTCTATCAATCATTCTTCACCACCACCATCATCACCACCACCATCCTGACACGATCACCACCATCATTGTACCATCACCGCTATCGTCACCACCACCATCATTACCATCGTGCCACCATTATCACTACTATTATGTCATCACCACCATTACCACCGTCACTACCACTAAGCCGTCGCCACTACTATTACCACCACATTGCTACAGCCACTGACGTTACAACCACCACCACTACCGTCATCATGTCACCACCATTATCGCTGTCACCACCACTATTGTCGTAGCCATTGTCATCACCACCATACCACCACCATCATTGTTGCCGCTGCTACAATGTTCACAACCACCACCACCAATTCATATGAAAAGGAAAGTGATGATTCAAAATTTTTTATACTTAATATGAATGATTTTGATTCTATTAGTTGTTGTGTTATCAAACGCAATTCTCATTCTCGAAATAAAAATATAACATGTTATCAAACATATTTTTTTCCTCGGTAGCTGTTCTAAGGCACAAAAATAAAAAAAGTTATTTCTCTTCAAAAACAGTGAAGAGAAGAGTTGTCATGCACTTCACTAAGAGTTCTGAGAATCAGAATTACGTTTATTAATACATTTTATTTTTATTTCGAGAATCATAATTACATTTGTTAACATTTTTTATTTTTATTCTGAGAATCATAATTACATTTAATAACACAATACAACCGAGGTGCTTGGCCAATAAATGTGGCTGTCGACGTCAATGGAGAGAGAAAGAAAGAGATGGATGGCTAGTGAGATGTTGTGACTAGCAAACGATGTTGTTTAGTCAGCGAGGTTAATGATGGAATAATGGAGGAAGGCGTTGATGACATGGGAGATGGCTAGGTTGGTTGTGAGAGACTTGCTTGTGGGTCGGTGGTGGGTGTTTTGTAGATTCAACGGTGGTGGAGGTTATTAGTCGAAAGGTTGGTGTTTTGGTGAAATTTGGTCGGACGAAATTAGCGGTGGCCATGGAGGTTTGTGGCGGAGAAGAAGATATTTGGGGTTTCAATTAAAGGTGGAATGGTGATATGCGAACAGGAATGAGATTTGTGGTAGTGGTTTGGTTGGGCATGGTGGTGGATATGTGGTTCACCAATGAAGATGGGAGGTGATGGCTGGCTTCTATGGTGGTTATGGAGGTCGGCGGTTGTTGGAGGTGAAGGGCAATGGGGGTTGATGGTCGATGGAAGAAGATGAAAGGGGAAGGGATTTGGGTTTCTAAAAAAAAAAAAAGGAGAAAATAGTATTTTAATTTTGCTTCAATTTTTTTTTTTTTTTGAATAAAAGGGTTGAGAGTGACAAAAACGAAAAAAAAAAAGATTCTTTTTTTGTTCCCCGGAACGGAGAAGCAAATTTTTTTATTTTTTTTTTATTCCACACCACAAAAATTAAATTGGTTCATCTGGAAAACAAAAAAATAAACTCATTTATGTTTTAAAAGAAAATTTATTGGATAGTTGTCAGGCACACATAACCGAACAAGGGAAGTGGGCTTCTTTTTATTAAAGGGCCTAAGCCCAGAAAGGAGTCACAACACAGCCAAACCTCTCTGAGAGTTTGAAGATGAAATATAGCTAATAATGGTTTAATGCTTCATAATATTTTAGAAATTATAAATTAAGAACTCCAAGGAGTTCGTTGCGGTAATGCATGCAAGAATGTGATGTCTAAATGTCTACCTTTTTTATTTTTTATTTTTTTACATTAATGGTCTGAATGTATAATCAAGCGTGCACCGGAAAGCCAAAGCTTCGAATGTAATTGGGTCAGTTTCTTGGAGCAGGGCACAAGGAAATTTATTGATTGTTACATTATAGTTTAAAATCGATTATGAGGAACAACGTTAATTATAGGATAAAACTGAAATAGTGGTCATGTGAAGACCTCCAACTTTAGTCGATCTTATCAAACCCCTTAGACTTGCCGGTCTTTTAGAATTTGATTGACTGAGTAAATAAAATATTATCCGCCTAAAAATAACTTTTGGCCAACAAAGGTGGGCACAGTTGACTAAGAGTTTGGTCCATACCCTCAAGGGCGTGGGTTCAAACCCTACAAGTCTGTGAGGACTTTGTTGGTGAGTGATATGTAATCCCTCCTAGAAATTCTCATAGAGGTTAGGGGATCTTCTCTGATCCTAATGGAATACCGGTGTCTAATCTCATTTAAACTTTTCTTGTATTAAAAAAAAAAAATAACTTTTGAGAGTAAAAATGAACACTTCTTATTTCTCTTTCATCTTACAATGGCGTGGGCCGGCACTGAACCTATCTATTGCAAGTTGGTTCCCAAGAGACATGGGTTGATCGTTTTCTTTTAGTGACAATTATTAATTATTAATTAATACATTTTGCTCACGAGAATCAAAATCCAATTTATGCAAATAGAATTATTATCCTTATTAAGTTTATGGGTTGTTTTGGTTGTCCAGGTTGATGATACCTTTGATTGATCCTCTTTCATAGCGACTAAATGGGGCGGAGGAAAGGAACAAATGAAGAAAGAAAACAAACAAAAGAAATGAGAAAAATGAACATATTAAATTTAAAAAATTTGAAGTACTAATCACATGAAATACTTTTCATAATGATTAGATCCAACAGCTAATAAAACTAACGTTAGATCCATCATAGTCATCGCAGAGCAGAAGTTAAAATGACAGAGACAGAGCTTGTGGAGAAGCCCATAAAAAAAAAGGCTAAAACTACTTGAGATTGGAACTGCGCTTAGATTTGTGTTGATTTAGCACCCAATCCAAGCCATGACATGGATTCAACCGGCTTATTAGGGGCCGTGATGGGATTGCTTGTTTTATATGGTGCTTTGGCAGCAATTCTGCAAATACAGCATAAGAAAATAGCAATGTCAGTCAATTAGGCCAAAACAACATTGTTTAGAGGATCTAGTTTCAAGTATAATTATTAATTGCAGCACAACAAGAGGAAAATCAATTTTTACAATGGACTATATTAATCTTTTCATTGCTAAGAAAATGACACGATGTATCAATTTCCTATGACACAAAGCCAGACATACACATACCTCACCAAAAAGGTAATACAGCAATTACCATACAAACTAGTTGGTATTGAGATTGTTTCAAACTTCCAATCACAAATAGAAGGGCAAATAAAAGTTCTTTTTTTGGAAAAAGAAAAATAAAAGAAACGAAACATATCAAACACCTGTCTAACTCGTAAATCAATTTATTTAGTACCCAACACAGATGCACCAAGCAGTATTTCTTTGCTAAAAAAATTCAATTGTTTGAGAGGCCTACCTATCTTTCCTCTTCTCCAGGAACCGATGAAGTGAAGCTTTCCTAGCAATTGGTAGGTCTGTATATAAATGAAATTTATGATCAGAAAAAACATGATCCATGACATGATACAAAAATATTCAGCTTTAGTCGTATCAAAGTATCATTAATCAAAAGGAAATTACCACAAAGAATTGGTCTGGATGGTATTTGAGGGTTGATATTAGGAATAATCGAAGGCTGACTGTGAGTGGAAGTATAAGCAGCAGAGGAATTTTGGCTTTGGGAGATTCCTTTGGTGGCAAATGCCATCATCTCCTCCACTTTGTGAGCGGGAAAATCATCAAATACAATAACTTGCCCAGCATAAAACATTGTCAACTGTGCAGATTTAGGTTCCTTCTCTGTAGACTTAAATGCACTGTAGATCATAAAAACAAAAAAAACAATTAATCATTATGACATGGTATGTAGTCATGACTCGTGATTCATTAATTATCTTCCACACAAATAATGGTACAAGAAAAGCAGTTAATTGACTTCACGGCTAATTAAAGAAGCACACCAACAACGCACCTTGAGTTTACCAAGGTTGGAACCTCAGTGTGGCGAGGATAAGCAGCTTGTGGAGAGAGCAAATCCATAGTTGTCAGGTTTTGTTGTGGTGTCACGTTGGTAGGAAACAGCTCCATGGTTGTTGCAGAGTGACATGATGTCTCAGAGGACCCTGTTAAGCACACAGATTCAGAAAATCTTAGAAACAACTCACGCAAGTCCATGATGGTTTATGAACAAATCTATTACAGTCCGTGTAATATATAACTCCTCTACCCAGAAATATTCCTTGCACTGAAAACTAATTTATCTAATTAATTTGTTCCAATTTTGAAGCTCGGCGACCAAATGCAACTTAATTTAAGGAGAAAAATCTGGACAGTTAGAACGCATATGTAAAATAAAAAATTATGCATGTGCGCAATAAAGATTTTCTTGTGCTCTCCGAATAATTTGGGATATTTTGAAGCACGAAGAGTGCAGGTGTCAGATCCGTCACTTTGAATAATTATTCAGTGCAACAAAAAAGCATGTATGATTGAGCAACCGAAGAAATTGGAGAAATTGAAACCTGAGACAGAAATTCAAGCCTACCCAGGTGGGAAAGACGAAACATTTTATTAAAAACCCACAAACTTCTTCCCTTTATTATAAGTAACCATCAATTTTCCAATTGTTCCTATCTCTAATACAAAAAAAAAAAAAAAAAAATGGAGAAAATATATAATTCAAAATTTTCACATTCGTTTGAAAATTTATTTTCTAGGGAACCAAACAGGATTTAAATGTATCCAAATTTTTTGATGAGAAAAATAAAGGGGGTGGGGGGAATTTAGGGGTTATTGAGAAATTAAATTCATACCATTTGTTTCGGTGTTGCATGTTATCCCGAGGGTAAGGTCTCCGAAGCTGCCCTTCTCCTTGAGGTATTGGCTCAATAGACTACAAGTCTGGGAGAATGAGGACTTCTCCTGCGACTTCGCCGGCTGATTGCCGGAAAACCCCGAATACTCCGATGAGCTCGACATATTCCCCGCCGAATATACCCACAAATGAAAGATAAATTGGGAAGAAAATAAAACCAGAAATCCTAATTCACAGAAGCCAAAGGCTTTGATGATGGAGTTATATGAACAAAGAAGATGTTAATATAATGATTATCCTTCTTGTCTCAGAGGCGTTACCTTATATATAATCATAATCATTTTTTAATTGAAATGAGAGGGAAAATGGAATTCAAGCACGAGTAATTTATGGGTGTTTCTTTTTTTAAAATACTTTTGTTGCCTCCTATAGTCCTATGACCTATATTGCACTTGTCCAAGTCCACTCTGGCAATATTTTTTTTAGGTACAGCACTCTGACATTACTTTATTATTCATTATTATTATTATTGCCTAGTTTTGTTGGAGTAATTTCCACCACGTGCTCTTTGTTTGGTTAAACGGCAGCGGCAAACTTTGTTCTCGCCCTTTGTTTTCTGCAGTCTGCAATTATATTAATTGCCTCTGCTTTTTTAAAATCGATTTTGTCAAAGTCTTAAATGTGGATACGTTATTGTCTTCTGACAATATGAACCAGCTCAGACGAAGGATCGCATGAAGAAACCGTGACTATTAATTATTATTATAAATGTACTGTATTTATATTAGTTTTTTATTTTACCACTTCGTTATTATTTGCCGAATTATAGTGTTAATATTGATAAAGTAGATCATCACATATATTTTTTTTTTTTAGACATTACAGGGAATTGAACCGCACACCTAATACACACTAAACACACCCAACACCACTCCCTAGTGGTGCAGATCATCACATACTTGTAATATAATAACAATGACCTACTATAATTTTGTCACGAATTGGAAGTTCAATTAACTTAACGTAAAAGAATGTGATGGTCAAACTCGCGATTTTACGTAAAATCGTGAGGGGATAGTAAAATCGTAAATCGTAAAATCGTCACGAATTGTAAGTTTTTACTTTTAAAAATATATAATAAATATAATAATATCCAACTAACATTATAAATAAAAAGACACAAACTCATAACAAAAAATTTAGAGACTAAGTGCTTAGAGTACAAAGTTCATCAAATTCTCAAAGTTAGCATCGTCGTCGTCATCTCCCACGGCAACTTGTACTTGTTCTTCAACCATTTCTTCTACTTCCAAGTTTACAACCATGTTTTCTCCACTTTGGATTCCCACCATGTTTTCTTCAATTTGAGTTTCTAAATCCAAGTTTGTCCAAAAACAAAAAAAAATTCCATCACTGCCCATGAATCGCTAACTCGTCCCAAATCGTACGAGTTTGCGATTTTGCACAGTAAAATCGCAATTTTAACGAGTTTACTCAGAATTTCGATTTTACTACCGATTTAACTCACCAAACAAAGTAAACTCGTAAAATCGTACGATTTTACGAGTTAACTCGCGATTTTGATAACCATGGATATTAGTAAGGTGAGTACTTAAATCTATTGTGATTACAAAAATATATTATTTAATTCCTTGTCTTTTTAAAGTATTATGTATATCCATTATGGTTATAAAAAATATGTCACTTAGATCTCTTGTGATATTTGATATATGTGCACACGCGAGAGCGCGCACATACACATATCAATCTTATTAAAATCGGGACGGTCATTGATCCGGTTGAGGTACTGGGTCACTGGTTCAACCGCATGACCCGATAATTATGTGTAATTTTATAATTTATATTAAAAAATTATAAACATACTCAAATATCTAAAAAAATGATAAATTTTTTAAATATTTTAATATAAAAAATAATAAATCACATATTATTATCCAATAAATGATCAAACAAAAATATATTGATCGTGATACGGGACTTTAGGTTCATAAAATAACATCTCTAACTATATATCAAGGGTTCGCTTTTTTTACACTCAATGTAGATAACTTATCTACATTGAGCCCTAAACGACGTCGTTTTGAGGCGAAAATCAAGGTATTGTTGTAATTATAATTTATTTCAGGGTTATAATAGTCTTTTTCATTATAATTTTTTAATTTTTCAACCTAAAATGACGTCATTTTGGGAGCAAATGTAAATAACTTATCTACATTCACTTATCTACATTGAGCCCTAAACGACGTCGTTTTGAGGCAAAAATCAAGGTATTGTTGTAATTATAATTTATTTCAGGGTTATAATAGTCTTTTTCATTATAATTTTTTAATTTTTCAACCTAAAATGACGTCATTTTGGGAGCAAATGTAAATAACTTATCTACATTCACTTTATAAACATTAAAGCCATAAATCAAATCAAAATTTTCTGCATAGTGCATAATTGAGATAATATCAGTGTTGTAGGTACGTAATTTATGTAAGTCAATAAACAAAAAAATATTCAAATATGTCCATTATGATTTTTTTATTTTTTTTAAAAATTGTAAATTTTTTTTGGATCAAGGCAGGTCACTGGTTTTCGTGAAAACCGGCATGGTCAGACCGGGTCGCACCGATTCTGATGCATGGCCGGTCCGTTGCTTCAATCGGACCGGTTACATGATCGATTTATCGGTTCCCGTGTCAGTCCGGTTTTATTAACACTGACAGACATGCACGCACGCACACACATATATATAGGGGGTGTAAATAGACTAGGCTAGGCCTATGCAAAAAAATATTGTGTATGGTCTGGCCTATTAGCCTGTGTAGGCTCCAAATTACAAGTCTGGTCTGACCTATATTTAAAAAATAAAAGTCTTGGCCTAGGCCTGTTAGCCTGTTTAAGCCTATTAAACATTCAACAATTAAAAGAATAACTAAAATAATATTATTTTATTATTCAAAATTATTAAAATAATAATTTTATTTATTATATTTTAAATAAATAATATAATATAGACCGGCCTGCAGGCTTAAAGGTCCGACATGTACAAAAAAGTCTGTGGCCTGTTTTCTAAATAGATTTTTTTAAAAGTCTAGGTCTGTTTTATTCTACTATTTATAATAGACTAAGCCTCACCTAATATAGGCTAGGCCATAGGCCCCTGTAAGCCGGCCTAGCCCATTTACACACACACACATATATATATATATATATATATATATATATATATATATATATATATATATATATATATATCAGTCAGGATCATTTTACACCAGTGTAAGTTACACTCTCAATCGTGTCCGTTGATCCCACTTATGTCTAAGGGCTCTAATTTTTTTAGTAATGTGAGTCATTGGATACAAGTGGATTAATGGTCAAGATTGAGTGTGAGACTTCTAACTCTTACACCGGTGTAAGAATATCTGTCCTATATATATATATGTGTGTATATATATATATAGGCATTTGATTCATGATAAAAATAAATAATTTTTTTATTTTTTTTAAGAAATTCTTTAGATGATATGCATTTAAATCTTACGGTCTTATATTTTGATTGTAAAAATAAATATAAATCAAATATTATTTTATTTTATTTGATATTGTTATAATAATCAAAAAAATAAAAATGATTATTTAACTAATACTTCTTTCATTTATTTTGAATAATATTCTTAATTTAAAATATTTTTTTACATAACTAAAAAGATTAAGTGATTTTTAAAATAATTTCAAAATAAATAACTTCAAATATTTTTTAAATTTAATCATCAATAATTAATTTTATTAAAATTTTATTTGATAATATCATAATTATATAAAGTAAAAGTTTGTAAAAATAAAGAATTTTAATTTATAAGACAATGAGTATCTAAACGACATTTTTTTGTTACCACGATGAGTGTAAGTGAATGTTTGAAATTATAGGGGTTAAATAATAAATTTATTTAACCATAATGGATATGAATAATAAATTTAAAACCATAAGAGATTAAGTAATACTCCATTAAACCGCAAGGGAAGAAATTGAAGTTTTCCATTTTAAACTTACTAATTATTTTAAATTTACTAACTAATTATATTTCTAGTGCTTTTACTTTTACTTGCAAGTATTTTATGTTTTATATAATTTGTGGCGCAGTTCGATGAACCTAACCTCCTATTTTTTTGTCATATATGTAAAAAGAACCAATTGTTAGTTAAATATTCATACTAGTTCAAATTTACTTATTATATGGTTTTCTCATTTGGTCCACCATCAATCTATGTCTAAAATGAAAGAAAAATTTGTATTTTGAGTAGAGCAGACAAAACGGGCTCGGCTCGGTGGGCCAACCCGCTCCACCAGCTAAACGGAGCGGGGCGAGCTCATTTTTTGGAGGGTTGATGGCGGGTATAGGCAGGACGAGGCGGGTCAGTGTAAAATAGGCTCGGACTGGCGGGCCAACCCGCCAAACAGGATGAGACGGACTGAGTTTTTCAGCCCATTTTTAAAAGCGGGGAGACTAACTCGTTTTTTGATGGGGTGAGGGAGGCGGGACGGGACTGGCCACCCACTTTGCCACCTCTAATTCTGAGTACACTAGCTATCATAAAATAAATAATTAAAAGACACGTATATCTAAACACATTTCATTTAGGGTAACAATATAGTACTTGGAAAATTGTTGAGAAGATTTGTTTTGTTATGGATCTGATGTTTTGCAGCTTAGGAAAATGCTTATTTGCATTAGTTATGTTGTGGTCAACGTTGAAAATTCTTATGATCTAGATAATTTATTTCTCAAAATTATGGAATTGACAATTTGCTTGGAAATTCTTTTTCCCGATACCAGTTATTCTTAAAAAAAATAGTTTGGTACTACAAAGTCTATGTCATTTGACAAATAATGATTTGATTGAGAAGCCATTGAGAAGTGATAAATTTTGTCTATTTAATTCCTTTATTTTAATGGTAATCATCGTAGTCTCTGTGTGTTTATGAATCATTTTATTTATATTTCTTTTGTTTGTGTAATGTGTGTGACATGAAAAAAAAGAACAATTGTTCTAAAGATGACAATTTTGTTTGTGTATTAGAATATGTGCAATTAATTTGTGTTAAAAAGCAGTTACAAATCATTTGAGATCAAACAAATTTAATTTGCAAAAT